CAGCTTCCTGAACAGACCAGTGTTCCGAAAGATGTGTGCATCATGCACCTTCCCAGACCAGCCTGCATTAATGTCCATGAAACACCCACGGTGATCCACAAGCGCCTGGAGTACCATCGAGAAATACCCCTTCCAATTTATGTACTCGGAGGCTAGGTAGTCTGGTGCCAGAATTGAAATATGCGTCCCATCTATCGCCCCTCTGCAGTTAGGGAAACCCATTTGTGCAAAGCCATCCACATCATGCACGTTGCCCAGAGTCACAGTCTTTCGGAGCAGGATGTGATTAATGGCCCTGCACACTTGCATCAACACAATTCTAATGGTTGACTTTCCCACTCCAAACTGGTTAGCGACCGATTGGTAGTTGTCTGGAGTTGCCAGCTTCCAGATTGCAATAGCCATGCGCTTCTCCACCGGCAGGGCAGCTCTCAATCTCGTGTCCTTGCACCGCAGGGTGGTGGCGAGCTCAGCACACAGTCCCATAGAAGTGGCTTTTCTCATCCGAAAGTTCTGCAGCCACTGCTTGTCATCCCAGACTTGCATGACAATGTGATCCCACCACTCAGTGCTTGTTTCCTGAGCCCAAAAGCGGCGTTCCACTGTGGTGAGCGTGTCCGCGAATGCCAAAGCAATCTCGTGTTGTATGCGTTATGTGTGTCGACATCATCGTCAGACTCCTCACTCTCACTTTGTAGCTTAAGGAGTAACTCGACTGCAATTCGTGACGTGCTGGCAAGACCCATCAGCATAATCCTAAGCAGTTCGGGATTCATTCCCGCAGACCAAAAGGGAAGATAGCGCACAGTAAAAAAACTGCTGAAAGATGGCACCAAATGTGGATGTCAGTACAGGGATTGCTGGGATGCGAAGCGATGCATCACGGGGCATTGGGACAGGACCCAGGATGCCCCACCCCCCATTCCGCCTTCCCACAAACCACAGTGCCAGAATGGGAAGAGGTGCTCTGTGGGATAGCTGCCCAAAATGCACTGCTCCCAATGCTGCTGCAAGTGCCGCAAATGTGGCCATGCCACCGCGCTTGCAGCTGACAATGTGAATACACAGCAGCACTTTCCGGGCTGCGGTCTCCGAGGGCTGGTTTAACTCCCGGCACGCTACATTTGCAAGTGTAGCCAGTGCACTTAGAGTCAAGTTTTAAATGAGTTGGGAATGCAGATACAAACATAGCTAGAACTTGGTTTGTGGCAACACACAACATAGGCCTTAATAATTCTGTTACAATCATGTTCTAACCCTTCTGGGGACCCGGGGCACCGACACATCTATGTTCTATAGCCTTGTCTGCACCAGATAGTTTGCAATGGTATATTTTTGTTGGTTTTTTTTTCCAGCAGAAACTACCTTGACTTCACCAACATTTTGTCTCTTTTTGGTTTGTCTCATACTTTTTATCAGAATAATTACACCTCTTTGGAAGTGACTTAGCTCTGTTTCAGTAGGACTTCTATAGGTAAAAGGTTCATGTGACTTTATCTCCGTGTTGGCATAACTATACCGCTACAGTTAGTTCTTCCACTGGTATCATACAGTGCATTGCTTCACACCTGGAATGGCTTGTCTGGTTACCTATGTGCACTCTAGGGTCATCTGGACTGGATAGCGGAGATGTTGGGCACAAGCACCATCTCCAGCTCTTCATAACACTCTGACAGTCCCTCCATCTCTCCCTGCCATGCATCACTGAGGCCCTTGCCCTTGGTTTTAACAAATGTTGTGCAAAACTCAGCAAGCACCAGTAACACGAGGCAGCTACCTCTAGGATGCCTCAAGTCATGTCATGAGACACCTCCACCTTCCTAACAGTCTTCCAGATATACACTCCTCAGATTTTACTATAGTTAAACAGCACCTTCAAAGGCTTCCTAAGCCCTGGAAGCACAGGGTCTCCCAGGATGACAGTTAGCATTTTAACACCATTAATGCCCATGGTGTCTGCCAGGAGCAAAAATTTAGCTTTTCATTGCATTAAATAAGAGTGAGTTTCAAAAGATTCTGGCTTCGTGGATGTTTTTCCAGGCTACTCCACACTAACGTTAGTGATCTTGCAGTGGTGATCAAACAGACCTTCCAGGACCATGCAGAAATATCCTTTTCTCTTGAACTCTGAGGCCTGGTGTAGGGGGCAAAAAATAGGTCTCATCACTGGCCCCTGTATAATTTGGGAACCCCAAACATTCAAAGGCATCAGTTGTTCTCTGTGCATTGCTAAGCTTTTTGACCCAGTAGCTCATGTACCTTCATCACAACTGAATGGTGGTGCTCGGGGTGGTGAGCTTTGCTACAAACCTCTTCATACGGAAGGGAGCGCTCACATAGGGCCCAGCACTGCCGCTCTGCACAGATTTCCAGGAAAGTGGCCTTCTGCATCCAGGTTCTCCAGCCACTGCTGGTCATCCCAGGTGTGCAACACTATCCTTCCCTAACACTCGGTGCCGGTCAGCCAGGCCCAGGAGCATCACTCTAGCAAGTGCAGCTGGTCAAGGAATTTGTCAGAGTGCCTACCTGGGGCCTTCCACTTCCTCCTCTAAAAGTAGCTGTGTGGAATCACACTGGTGATGGTGATCTGCAAATCTTCCCCGGCTGCATGCTGCCAGTAAGTTACTCACCCGTTTTGTGTTAATAAACGGGATCACTGTGCTTCCTCCATGCTGCGTGACAGCAGTTTGAAAATGGCTCTCGTTAATGAAAACAAGATGAAGCATGGAATATTGCAGGAGGGATCATAGGAGCTTGACCCCTGAGTCCCACAATTCCCCTATGTATTGATACAAATCCCACAGTCTACTGCAAAAACCAACTGTAATGCATAATGCTTAGTGACATTACTTTGGATCTTGGGACACACTTCGAAGTCCTTTGAGTAACATCTGTTTATTTCAATAAAGCGAGCTTCTTTCCCCTATTTATAAACTCCCCAAAATGTATAATTTTTGGGGGGGGGGGGCCACAATAATCTAACTACTTAATTTCCAGTACTGGTCACATGGGATAAATCAAGGCACTAAATGAAGACTATTCACTACAAAAACATTCAATTCAGAGCAGGTGTAACTGACACAGTGCTTCAAAGGGTGAGCTCCCAGCTTTATTAACACTAGATAAGATAAACTGTTTGCCTTGTTTTATTACTAGTGAAACGGACATCAAAACCGAAAACAACTAGAACTAGGGTGTGTCAGATGATCTGTGTTTGGAAGCCATCAGACTTTACTCCCACTACAAAAGGTTCTATTAAATGTAACCAGTAACAGATTGCTTCCAGATCTCATCAATCTGGAGAAGGAGGTTGACTCTTGAGCCTACTGAATCTGGGATACAGGAAGAAAAAGACGGCAACAAGGTATTAAAGCTATTGATAAGTACTACAGCTAGTAAGGTACTATTTATTCCACCACAATATTTAAAGAGTGAAGGCTTTCATGAAAAACAAATTTAAAACAGGTTCATCTGACTTCAAAACAGTTCAGCCCTTGTGACTCTCAAACTTTTTTGTGTGAACTGAAAAAAGCAATATACCGAACTATCATTTCCTTTACACCAACAAAACCCAAACAAAATACCTTTTCATTTGCATAAAACCAAGTAATGAACAACAATTTCACTAAGAACTGTAATAAACAGGTTGAACACGTCAATAAAAACTTGTTTAAAAATGTAATAGCGATCTTAAAACATTATCTGTTTTATCCCTGTTTGTTTCTGGAGTTTTTCATAATTCAAGTGTTTCAGAAGATGCAGTGAGTTTTTCAGAGCCAGCTATACTTTTACTTATTTATTAAAATAGCATAATTAAACTTTTAAAACTAAATAGGCATTTCCTCAAAGTTGGTGGATCCGTAGCATTACGTCTGACTATGGGGGACCACAGCCCCAGCAAGTTAAATCTTGGAGAAAGGGAGCTGGGAGATGTACTGATGCTCACTATCAGATTAACTGCTTAATTTCCAGTATTGGTCACATGGAGATAAATCAAGGAACTAAATGAAGACTATTCACTACAAAAACATTCAATTCAGAGCAGCTGTAACTGACACAGTTCTTCAAATGGTGAGCTCCCAGCTTTAGTAACACTAGGTACGATAAACGTGTAAGATAAAATTGTAAGGTTTTTACCAAAGCCTCCAATGTGGATGGAAGTGCTGAGCGTGCCTACATACACACACGCAGACAGTCACACTTTTTTTTCCTGTTGCTTACTGGCTTCCAATGGTTTGATTAAAAACATTAATGGGAGAACACCCCTCAGTTGAAAAGTATGTGATTAGACTTTGTTTTTTGCCTTTTACTATACTTTAAAATTAAACACTTTCTTGAGTTGATAGTCCAGGAAATTAGAGACTATCACCATTTTGATTTCATCATGGGATGGTATTTGGTCAAGGTAAGAAAACAAATCCAAAGAAAACATATTTTAATAACTTGTGAGATTTTACTCTGATCAACATCTACACGTAGTGAGTATTGTATATTCTTGGATCAGAAATAGTATGAGTCCCACTAAGTGCTCTTGGCATCTTTTTCTTTTACTCACCCCTATCTAACTTCATTTGTGATATCAGTCTCATATTTTGTGATAACCCTTTGATTTATGGCATATATTCTGGGAAGTTTATATATTGTATTTTTTTCATTCAGTGCTAATTAGGATCCACTGAATTTTTTAGCATATTGGCAAATTTCTGCAACGAGGCGCTTTACATCCATTTCTACTAAATTTTCTAACATTGAATATTTGTAGCATTGTGCAAAACCCCTTTTCATGGAAGCTCTTGCAACTATGTCTTTATCTAATGCATTTTATAGTTCCTCAGCTATAAAATGACCCATTAGCCATAACAGCTAATTAAGGGACAAAATGCATTTATTCTAAGGATTCCACCCTAAACAGAACAAGTTTGTATATATATTAAAAAGAAGTAGCTACAGGATTCTTTTTATGTATCTTGATTTAATGTAACCAATTATGCTGCATTGTGTCATCAATGAGTTCAGAGGCACTGGGGCCCCACTTTAGCAAATCACTTAAATGTGTGCTTAACTTTAAGCCTGTGGTTAAATCCCAAATCAAAGTTAAGCCTATGTTCAGTGCTTTGCTGAACAGGGATGGAACTTTTAAGCTTTACATTGTTTTTTGTCTTGTGCTACTATTTGAATAATAAAAAAAAAAATGCTGTAGCGTGATGCAGATGCAAGACACATCAACAAAATTGTCTAAAATTGATTTTAGAAGATTGTGTTCTGAGTCTTCTGCACAGATGTAAAAGTAGAAGACACCAATGCTGCATTTTTGTTAATATGTTGGGATCTTCATTTTTCTTAATGTGTTGGCTTCATCGGTGAAGAACCATAACACCAGTGGGTAAGAGGAAGTTGTTGTTTCTGTAAAAGTATGTATCTTATCTGTCACTGTTTCCAACACTGTCACATTGCAAGCTATGTTACAAACACAAGAAAACTGGAAATGACAGCGTTATTGATAGACATAAATCATAGCATTACAAAGTATATAATATAGCTGGTTTGGGGGGTTTTTAATTGATGTAAGCAAGCTTAGCCCTAATAAATAATGAGAATTTCAAATAAATACACCAGTGTTCATGACAGAGCAGTAATTAATTTTAGCCTCTTTGGCTATGGAACTAGGTATATTGAGACCACAGCAATCTTTTCCCTTCTGCAGGGCCTATGGGAAGCTCAGTTGCTATTATTCATGGCAGCTGCAAACTCAGTTCTCCAGCAGCTCCACTGAATTTGAATGAAAAATTCTAAAGCAGAATCTAATACACTCCACACAATTCCAATTGTCTTTGATTAGAAAGGATAGAGAAAAGAAACAATAACAATAAAAATGAAATTTCTTGTCTTCTGAAACACTAGAGTTATAAAAAGCATCAAAGTTGACTTTTAGCACACTAATTATTAGAGATGGACTGAATTGGACCAAAAAGGTTGGCTATCCTTGAAAATAAAGAATGTGCTGCCTATAGTTCAGATGATTATTTTATTCCCTATGTATCACCAGCAGGTCATATGGTTTGGATCACTTTTGAAACACGTTATCAACAAAACCCTATGAAATAAATTAAACCTGTCATTCTTCTGGGAGCTCTTCTAGGATTATGTTCAGGCACCTAACAAACAACATGTTTTTTTTTTTTTCACGTATTATTTGCATTGGGTTATCTGGCTAGTGGCAGGGATTCTGATACAGGTAACTAGCTAGATTGAAATGATTCAATCCAAGTCCACCTCTACTAATTACTTGTATATTTTTAATCTGCTATAATATTTTGCATACCCTTGCAGCATAAAAATATGGGGAAAATGTAAACAGTTGATGTCATAATACTCCAGCGACTATGTCTCTACACTTCACACTCTAGGATTTTGAGGTCTTCAAGCAGTTCTTGCGTCAGTGTTTGCAGCTCTGCGTTGCGGCTCTTTGACAGTGCTATGATACGTTGAAATGGCAAGGTGTCACGCATCTCAGGCGCTGACTTTGCTAAAACTTCTGGCTCTAGAATCACAGACTGGAGAAGCCGTAGAACATGCAGACATACTTCTGTATCTGGGTCTAGAAATGAGGAAGAAACGATTCCAGCTACTTGTTACATGCATCCTTATGCCAGGACTAACATTATAGCTCTACATCACCATCCCCCATGGACCCTTGGTAAAGAGAGAGTGGCTGAAGTTCTGCTATTCTCAGCTGCTGAAATGGCCCTTTGGGGCTGGCCGGCCCCAGAATATGAGAAGATATAAAAGTGGCTTAAAACCACCACTGCACTCCTCCTCTGTTCCCTGTGCTAAGCACTGGTTGGGAGGAACTGGTAATCAGGAATATTTTGTTCCCTTCTTCTTTACTCCAAATGTAGCAAATCCCACAGATATGTGGATTTATCAACAACTTTGTCAGTAGCCAAGATTTAGTTTGCTGCAGTTTCACTTGGAGCAGGATAAACTATGTCCCATTACTATTTAGTCTGTTTTAAAACACTCATTCTGCAATTCTTATAAGGCTTTTCTTTATCTATATAAGATTCAGATTCCATTTAAACTCAATAAAACCTCAACTTTAATCAAATACACTTGGTAATAATATGCCAGTCCTCCAAATACTAAAAATTGAGTTGACACAAACTGAAGTGTTGGGTATATTTGATTTTATGGTAGTGGGACAAATCTGGTTTAACTGCTTAGGAACATGTCAGAAAAACATGCCTAGGAAGATGTACAATTAATTTTGATTTCCATTGTTAAAGGAACAGGATGCATTTATTACTATTGAAATATTAGGAGTGATTCTATTTTAATTATACCCAATAGTTTGTTGGGTGTCTGTTTGTGCCTTTGCTAGACGCACCCAGTAGGTGACTCCTTTTATTTTTATATTCTCTATTTTGCATATTCCAAACTTGTATTTCTAATGTATTTTATAGCTAAAATATCTATTTATTTGTATCAGGTGCTGTGCATTTCTACTATGTCTGTCACTGTCATACCTAGATTTCAGGAAAGCCTTTGACAGAGTTGTACGAAAATGTTGAGAAAAATTAATTGAAATTAATTTGCATACCAGCATTGCCATGGGGACTGAAGTCTTGCAGTAGGACCACAAATCAAGTGCAGTGATAAATCACAATGCCTTGAGCTGGAAGGAGGTGTCAAGTGGGCTAGAACAAGGTTCTCTTATTAGTCAGCTTACTTAACACCTTTATTAATGATCTGAAATCAGGGTAAGCAGAATGCATTAAACTAATGCATCACATACATTAAACTGGGAGGTGTTGAAAACACCAAACAGGATAGGGAAACAGAACAGGGCTTAGAAAGATGAGAAATATAGTCAAAAAATGACAAAAGCTTTGTCTAGATGAGGAATTTTATGAAATTCCCACTGGCACTGCCAACAGTTCAGCAGAACAGGCATTAAGCACTGGTGGCTTCTTGCAATTTTAACACTATGTTAGTTAAACCTGACTCTGCCAGACTTCCAGTGTGACTGAGGACAGGTCACAATCTTTCTGTGCCTTAGTTCCCCAGCTGTACAATGGAGTAACATATTTCCTTTCTCCCACCCTTTGCCTCCTCTGTTTAGATCGTAAGCTCATAAGGGCAGTGACAGTCTCTGACTATGATCATGTCTACCCTACAGAGCCTATGTTGGCATAGCTATGCCAGCCTAGGCCCCTAATGCAGACACTGTGTATTCTCACAGAAGGAGTTCTTCTGCCAGCACATTAACACCACCTCCCAGAACCATGTTAGCTATTCCAACAGAAGCACTTTTTTGTTGGCTTAGCTGCTTCTATACTGTGAGTTCTGTCCGCATAACTATATCACCTGGGGGGCTAAATTTTTCACACCCCTACCTGACATAGCTATGTCAGCAGAACTTTGTAGTGTAGACTAGGCCTATGTGTCTATACCAGTGGTTCTCAACCAGGGGTACATGTACCCCTGGGGGCATGCAAAAGTCTTCCAAGGGGTACATCAACTCATCCAGAAATTTGCCTAGTTTTACAACAGGCTGCATAAAAAACACTAGTGGTGTCAGTACAAACTCAAATTTCATTCCACCAATGACTTGTTTATATAGTTCTATATTTTCAGTGGTTCTCAAACAATGGATCGCGACCTCAAAGTGGGTTGTGAGTTCGTTTTAAGGGGGTCACAAGGGCCAGCGTCAGAGTCCCTGGGTCCTAGGGCAGAAAGCTGAAGCCCGAGCCCCACCACGTGGGGGGTGAAGCCGAAGCCTGAGCCCCACTGCATTGGGCTGAAGTTGAAATCCGAGTTTTTAAGTGAGGTGAAACTTGGGGTACCCAAGACAAATCAGACTCTTGGGGGTACAGTAGTCTGCAAAGGTTGAGAACCACTGGTCTATACAGTGATTAGCATAATGGAGGCCTCATCTCATCATGTTTTCTGCTTGCTACCAAATACTGTGTCACCTTAAGTGAGTCATTTATGGCAAAATTTCCAAAACTGTCCCTTAATTTTGGGTGATCAGCTTGAAAACAACTAGAGGCCTGATTTTCAGAATGCTGAGCACACACAACTCCAGCTGAAGTCACAGAGAACTGCAGCTACTCTGCACCGCTGAAAGCACCCACAAATTAGGCTACCCATACTTAGTGGATACTCTTAAAAATACAGGCCACAATCCAACATTTTCAGAAGTTTTTATTTTTCTGATTGTAAATCTATCCAAAATAAGAGAAAAAGATTGTAAATTTGTCTTCAATTTTTGTCTTTAGGCTTCTAAGACTTTATTGTTTTATTTCTGGCAAAATTGAGATTGAAATCCAAACACATACATTTCAAAAAGAATATGACAAAGCCAACTGTTCTCTCTAACACAGGACCAGGTTCTGCTACCTTTACTTGTGTTGAACATTACATTACTTGCAATGGGGCTGTCGTGGAGAAAGGTGCTGTGTACTGAGAGTAAGGATAGTAAAATATGGTCCAGTGAGGCGGAAAAGAAGCTTATTGAAATGAACTGGATGTAGGTAGTCACACCCCTCTTGTATTTCAGTTTGCCCATCTATAAAACAAGTCTATGACTTTTAGTACCTCACAGAAGAATTGTGAGGCTTAGTATATATAAGTTGCTTTAAAATCCTTGATGAAAGGTGCTATGTTAGCAAATACTATATGCATTTACATTAGTATAATCTGCAAACATTAGAAGTGTGTACATGCTAAGGAAGAGAGGAATTGCCTAAGGAGGTATAACACTATGCAACAAAGCTAAGGAAAATTATATCTAGCTGCACAATAGGAAAATTTTCCATTGAGATCTACTGGATTCTGGAAAGAGTCTCCAATGGCAGTCATAGAATCCCTATTGATTGAATCACTTGAATGAAGAATATATTAGGCACTTGGTGAATATAATGTTGCATCAGAAGAGGTATGGATAAGATAAACTCAGTATCTCTCGCCTCTGATTTCTATTGTTCTACATGTATTGCAAGACACTTAGAGTTACACAAATGGATACATGTTAAAACACACACATATACACCTTATCATGACTGTATATGGTTTTGGAAATCTGCTTGTTAGGGATATTTATATTTTTGTAATTTTCTTCTTGGATTTTAAAATATACTCAAACAGCCCTTTTTTTGGTCTCCCCAGTTTCATTAAGGATTTCTCTTTTAAAAGAAAATAAATTCTAGTAGAGAACAGGCAAAAGGAAAGTAAGTATGGCAGGGATCTTCATTACTCAGCATTATCTTTATTTCAATAGCTTCCAGAATTAGTCATTTCTATACTAGTTGAGTAATTTTATTTACATGAAGCCAAGAAAAGTCTTAGCTGTAATCATATCACTTCATCACATCCTCTCAACAACAGGCGCACACATTTCTTAGCTAACATATTCAAGTCTAATCATTAAGGGGAAAAAATGTAGCTGTTTGTCTTGGTCTTGAACAGCATGTGTAATATAAGCCTACCACAGTTATAACATACTGATGCAATTTTAGCAAGGAACTGTGCTGACGTTTTGTTAACTGCTAATAAGGTACTGTCTGATGTCACTGGCACTCAGTCACTGATAAAAACAGCTGATAAAGCAGGCAGATTTTACAGTCACATCTGTCATTAGGAGTGTGCTCTCAGATGAACTATTCCCTACAGCAGAGTTTAAGTAACTGCATTACATCAGTGAGAAACCGCCTATCTACAATTGGCTCTGTGAGTGGTGTGAATCCAATGTACATGTGCCTGTAACATTTCCTGGCCAACCTGGATGCAGTATTTATTGTTGGCAAATGATCTGCAATAGAGTTTAAGGTTCTGCCTATGCCAGGACAATATTTCAAAAGTTTCACATCTTGGCTAACACTACTTCAGCACCACCAGAGTTAGCAATCCTGGGAGATCTAGTGTGGAGGGGCCACCAGCTGCTGCCCCCATTTTAAGCACTATCTCACTACCCATGATCACACTAGGTCAAGCTAATGGTGAGGCAAGCTGATGGCCCACCCATACAAAGGCTCCTTATATTGCTAACGCCTGTAGACCTGAACCAGTGTCGGCAGTAGCAGAGAGATTTTGAAAAATTACCCTACTGTTGATAGGGCCAAAGAGATAAGAAGAAACATAATAAACAAAGTATCTGCAGTGGGGAAAATGCTAACACAGAAAGCATTTACAAAGAATGAGCTATGCTGCAACAAGTCCTAATATTGAAAGTTTGCTTTTTCTATGTAACATACCCTTTTATACTCTCTTTTTTTAACTCCAGTTCCTGTATAATTGATGTCAGTTCAATCTTCCCTTTTGTCAGGGGACTGTTCTCATTGCTATCTGAGGAGATCAGCCAGTCAGCAATCCTATCTGTTAGGACCAAAACTAGTTTCCACGTGTAAATCCATTAAAGCCAATAGTGCTACTTTAGATTCACATCAGAGCTGAGAATGTGTCCCATCTCCTCCACAACATACCTGATTATTCACTGGACATGGAAGTGAGAGTCCAGAGGTCTTTCACATGGCAAAGTGATGCACTGTACATGTACCTCTTAACTAGACAGCTGTTTAAGTAAAATCTTAAGCACAGTACCTAGCACACACTGAGACTTCGATCATGGCCGGGAACTCTGCGCACTATCACAATACAACTAACAGAACAATGAAGAAATAGCAAATTATTTCTTATACTGATGGTCCACTGAAGCACTAAAATATATTTATCAGATTATTTATAAGAAATCTTAAAGGGTTCTAAACTTAAAGACAAATATAAATTCACTGTGCTACTCATGAGAGGCTTGATTTGGAGGAATTTGTTTTTAAGCATGAGGATGAAGACTTAGTCATTAAATGAGTGCTGCGATGAATGCAGTCCTGAAGTGGCTAAGGGCACTCTTCTGAAAACTGATTTCAAAGTCTGAAGAATTTGAATTGTTTGAGAGTTGGCTACTGTGAGAATTAGAGAATCTAAGAATTAGAGGATCTGATTAATAAGACATTGAGCTAATAGAAAACCAAGATGACTTCTAAAAGAGGTGCTACCATGAGAAGGACCTGGATCTTCAAAAAATTCTGAGACACACAGATGATCCAAACAGAAAAGCTATATATTGGAAAAGTTTAGGATCAAGTCATGAAAAGCAAATATTGAAGATGGCAGGGAGTATTAGGAATATGAAGGTATCTTTCGTTGAGATCTATAGAGTAGAGATAGTCATTTGCAGAAACTTCTTGGATCAACAATAAGAGTTTTCAAATGGAACTGTGATCGCTTCAGGAGAAAATTGAGAGAAGAGAGATCTAAGAACACTCAAGAGCTTCCTGCCCTCTTTTGTTTTATGAAATACCTGAGTAATTTCCCTAGAGCTGAGGGGAATATGGCACAGCGATAATCCCTCCAAATTCTGTAACACCTCTGAGTCCAAATTCAACAGCACCAATCTTTTGGCTGTGTTCAAAAAAAGAAAAGTGGCCATAAAGAGATAAGAATGAAGGGGAATATCAGAGTGTGATGGGGCACAGTTGCCCCTCATTAGTATGTAAGGGGGTTTAAAGCAACCCTGGGGAGGCTGTGCAGGAGGCAGCCAATAAGGAAAAGGCTTGTAGTGCCAGCCAGTTAGGGGAAGGTTTATTGGAGGAGCCAATCAGGGCCAGGCTGGCCCATATAAGAAGGGGCTGCTGAGCAGAGGAGGTGGCAGTCACTCCCTGAAGGGTGAGGGAGAAGGACCACGGACAGAGTAGTGCTGGGTGGGGTCAGCAGAATATGAGAAAGCTCCAGGCTGACGGCTGCCAAACTAAGGCCCTGATACAAGGGCAGAGGAGGTACTAGGGCTGTGGGCCAGGGAAGGAGATGGTGGAGTTGGAGGAGGGGCAGTACATGGCTGTTGGCTATAGGGTATCTGGGTTGGGGCCCGGAGGAGGGAACCGGCCTGGACTCCCCTCCCTTTTGCCACCACTGGCCACTGAGGAAAGTGACCCGTGCACGGACTGCAGTCTGCCACGGAGACAAGTTGCTAGAACCTGGACTGCAGATTGCCACCGAGGCAAGTGGTTGGACTGAGGACTGTTGGTCCCCTGGAAGGGGGGAAAGAACTGAGTGAGGCACAGCCGGAGGACTGTGTCCAGAAGAGGATGCGAGTCCTGCATGAGGAAACAGGAATGACAACAGGCAAGACACCATCTGAGGAGGGCGCACTGGCAACCACCAGCTAATTCCCAGGACAGCCAGCAGGAGGTGCCGCAGTGGTGACTTGAGCCCCGTCACACAGAGAATAGCCCAATGAATTCCCTGTATGCTCCTTTTCTGGTAATTGTTTTAGCCCAGGAGAAGTGGCAAATCTGAGTCTACTCCCAAACTGTAACATTTGGGCCAACTTCTCCTTGATGCTTAATGTGGTGATTAACAGAGAAAGGTGTTCTTGGTCTAGCACTTTGTAAGAGAGAAGATGAGACGTTCGTGTTGTATTCGGAGGAATGAAGCACTAAGAAATCAGAAGAGTCTCAACAGGCTTTGTATCAGAAAGGAAATGTATGTTGCTGAGAAAGATGGCGCTTCTTTATATTTGCAGATAATATAATAGCATTATCCAGGACAACACCACAGAGACACTGGCCTTTGAAAAGCGCTCATATCACACAGGTGAAAAGGTGAAGAAAGCCCTGAGCGCAGAAAAAGCTGGCTGGACCTCCTGCTGAGGAAGATGATGGGAGTGAGGGTAGATCCTGGGCTCATCCTCTGTTCAGTACTGTTGGTCTAGTTGCACAAACTACTCCACCACCTCTGTCAACTGGAAGCAGGCCTTCCCAGCACTCAGGAATCTGAACTGGCAGATGCACACTGCCTGGGAATCCTTGTCCTTTCTCAGAATGTAAGAATTTCAGCTTCAGAAAGTAAAGGTATTATATAAGCCTGTCTTTTTTCCTCACTCCAGACACAGATGAGCAACACCTTTAGAATGCACAACAGCCTTTCAACCTCTTTTCCCATCAACAATTGCAAATTAAATACTATCAATTGTGTATCATACTTTGTCTGCTTATGTGACCGTAGGCACTTTAATTAAAAAATAAAATCACATCAACTATCTAGCTCCAAGCAAAATTAACTTATTCTATCAAGGTCTTTTGAATGGGACATTTGGGAACTTCAGTCACCTTATTTTTGTTAGAATAATGACCTAAATATTAGTTTGTCATAAAGAAGAAAATGTGGAGCAATGCGTGTAAGGTTTCTTTGTACTGTAGGGCAAAAGACCATATACTCAGGTTCCTCCACTGAGCGATTCATCTCCCCCAACTATGTATAAATCTATAAAATGAGTATGATATTTTATAGGGGTGTTGTGAGGTTTAATTAACTGTCTTCCTTTGAAGAAAGTTATTTGATAATGAGCCTGAGTACATAATTTGTACATAAAAATGTATGTGAGAGCCATGTAGCATATAGGAAATCCCTAAGTTTATTGAAATACCATAGATCAAACAACTCCAAGCATCAGTTTGATCCTTGCATCAGCAGGTGCAACTCCCATTAACTTCTATTATTATTATTTGTACTACAATAGCCCTGCTGCACTAGGCACTGTACAAACACAGAGACAAACCCAGTGCTGAAGAGCTTAGTTTAAACAGAAAAGACATGTGAGAAGAGAAACCAACACAGAGGAGAATTTACTTACATGAGGTCACACAAGTGGCAGAGCTGGGGATATAACCTATATCTCCTGACTTTCAATCCAATGCCCCATCCACTAGACCATGCTGGATCTTATCAATGGGAGCTGGACTCACACCAGGGATGCATTTAGTTGCAAAGGTTAATTTGTTTCAAGATCAAAGACTAAGCCTGATCTTACTGTACATACTTTTCAGCAGTTACATTTTTATAGTGTCTCATAGATCAGAGATATTATTTTAAAGTCCATAGATGCAAGTACAGGTGGCTGTCTTCCATTTGCTTTATCAGATTCCTCCCCTCCCCCCATTGGGATACTGCCATCAATAACTCTTACATGAATTGAATGTTATACACTAGAATCATTGATAGAAATACTTATATTCATCCCTTCAGTTATTTCCCTCTCTTTGGGCCTTTATTATCTCATAAATAGAACAAAGTCACAGATCTGAATTTCTACTCAGCTATTATCTGTATCTATTCACAGCTATTATCAAAAAGTCCACAATTTGAACTGTTGTAACAATCTTACCGTTCAATAGCCACCAAAGTAATGGAATAAAACCTGGACTTTCACTAATGTACTTCAAGCCTTTCAAGTTGATGCTCACATTGTACAGTGACATCAGCATTAGCCTAAAATAAAATTAAAAAGGTGATTAAATTGCATCTTAAACTGCATCATTACAATAACTGCATCCAATACTTACGATGAGCATCTACAGATGGCTAGATCCTGATGCATATTTCAAACTCAATATATAAGATACAAGATATGTACTTATGTCCTGTTATATACATACAGCTACATGAATGCAACAATATGAGAGATTTTATTTAAATTAATAAATCAAAATATATTAATCATGTAAAAGTCAGCCAATTTGACAGCATTTAAATTCCTCTGAACTGAATGGGACTAGTCACATGAGTAGGGCAAGCAGAATTTGGCCTTACATGATCACTCACCATATGCAACAGAATCCTCTTAACTGGGACTCCCCAGAAGGCGGCCTATCATCCTGATTAAGCCGCTTGTCTCAACAAATGAAAGGGCCACTTAAAAAAAAATAAAAGGCTGCAAAGATTTTATAACAATTACTATACTGAATCAAAAGAACTAAATGAAATTTGCTGCATTTCATTCATTCTTCTTTTGATCTTTGACAACTTCTGTATTAAAAAAAAGAGAGCAGCTTGGAATTTCACAACTTTAATACCTAGCTATGCATCTCTTAATCATCCAACACTGGCCACTCGTGTCCCTGTCAAACAAAGTTTATGCTAATTCTATACCAATTAAAGCAGCAGTCAATCATTCTCCTTATTAGGATAAATCTGTTCTCTGGAAGACATCCTGACAAAGGAGAGGTCCCGAATCTAAGAGGTGCTGAGCATCCTGACTTCAGTGGGAGCTGAGGTCACTCAACACTTTAAAGGATCAGGCTATAGGTAAAGCACACTCTAAAAGAAAATCCGACAGAGAGGTTATTAAGAGAGAAAAGGTGAGACTCCATTGTAGTATATTGCAGATGATGTATTCCTTACGCCATCCGATCTTAAATCGAACTTCGCACCCCTTGATAATCTGTACGTTATTCCCTGATAACCTGAAACTTCTACGCTTAAACTCTGTACCGTTCACTTTTTTTTAAAACATCATCTTAATAAAATTTTTACTCTTTGCCAAACAATGTGTCTTAATAGCCAGTGGGACCAGGAAATTATCCCAAGCAGACACAATGCCTCCTGGAGTGCCATCCTTAAAGAAGGCACAGTGGTATCCTCTGCCACCATACTGATCCAACTCCACTGGCTGTTGTGGACAGGGTTGGGGCCACACCCATCTTTTTTTCATCTCACACTAAGTCTAGTGCTAGCAACAGCACTGGACTCTAATAGTCTTTGTGCTGAAGGGACTCGTAAGGACTGTGTGACTGGCGTCTGTGCAGAAGGTAAGGGGGTATTATGGGAGAAGACACACTTCTTGTTGCCCTGCTCACCCTTGCTTAGGCATGAAGAAGCCAGGCAAAATTCAGGCCCAACATATATAAGCCACTAAGAGTAACTGTTGCAGCCACAGAAAAGCAACAAGCCTTGAGTGTGCTGTATTCTCAGCTGACTGCCAATCCACATGTCAAGAGTGAAGGGGACGATTCCGGCCCCAGTTCTGGCAACATATAGGACTTGCAAGAGGTTGGAGAAGTCCCCTGAAATAGGAGCAGCATAGGACTTATGCAGCCTCCCTCATCAGCCCTAGCACCAGAGCAGAAATGGAGGGAGGGGACATACCCACAGCGCAGAGTACTCCAAGGGATTCTGGACTGCTGCAGGGCTGCTCTAATTTATACCAGGGGCCCTGGCAGCAGCCCAGAACCCAGAGGATGAAACGGTGATGTAAAGCCACCACTGCCCCTGGGCTGCACCTCCCGGAAAGTACAGCACAGAATCTGTCCCTGGCATATGGAAACGACTTAAGCCATCCTTCTTCAAGCATCTACCCAGGGCCCCTGCAAGTACAACTTAACACGACCCCCATAATGTGACAGGATGGGAACTCATCCGTTCCTGTATAGGGGAACTGAGAAGGATGCCACTGTTCTGCCACCCTCTGAAATGTGTTTAGGAGTCCTTCACCAGTTCAGAGAGGATCATTCCTGACAGTGCCAGCCTAGTTCAGTACTTGCACCCACCAGCCATACAGTACTGTCCCTGTCAATGTCTCCATGTGCTCCCCCAAACACCTTCGCATTCACACAGGGCCAGACAATTTGGTCCTTAAACTGTGGCTATACTGTGAAAAATGTATTTTTGACTCTTAAATTTCATCATGGATCTATTGTGCCTTATGGATTCCACATCAAATTTGCTCAGTCTACAGGCAAAAAGATTTTTTTTTTTAATTGCCAGCCCTGCAAATTCAATCTGCATCTGAGTCAAAATGCACTCTTGCCTTTGCACACATCACCAGCAGTCACAAAGATGATGTAAACCAAATGATGCTCTCAGTTATACCTGCATAACTTCACTGCCTCCAAATACCTTAACACCTGTGCAACCCCACAAGCCTTCAGTGGGTTTTCATAGGATGTAACTGAAGGCTTCTGTTGGCCTTTTTATTTTTGGTGTTGATGTCTGAAAAGGAAAGAACCCAGCTTAGCTTTCAGATCACAGGTTGAGTCTCTGGGACTAGCAGTTAGAAAAAACATCTTTTATTTATATATCAGAAAATTTGACATGGCATCACACACACATTTTTAAAGTCAAATTACATTTAATGTTTATGCAGCAGAATGAAAATGCAAACATTTACAACAGAAAAGGTTAATATCTTTGGACATGGTCTTTCAATCTGTTCCTCAATGAAAATGTCAAACAGATTAAAAATGATGTAAAAGGACACTGCTAGTTTGTATTTTTCTTTCGCTTGTTTGTTTTGTGTGGAGCAGAGGGACTGGCTGTGGTGAGCTAAAAATGTTGGAATGTTGTGGGGAGAAGAAGAAGAAGAAAGTTTCTGAGTTTTAAACCCATTTTGCTAGCCACTCAGAAGATCTAAGCCCAAATTAATAATGTATTATTAACACCACCATAATGTGGAAAAACTCTTTATGCCACTTTCAGCTCTACTGCTCCTTATATTCTCTCTACATAAACACACTGTTTTTCCTTTGCTCTTCTCCCTATTATTACCGTATATACTTGTTCATAAGCCAAATATTTTTGGTAAAAAATTGACGCATCAAAAAGCGGGGGTCGGCTTATAAACATGTCTACACCAAAATTTAATGATTTTAAACTCTATGGCAGGGATCGGCAACCTTTGGCACGCGGCTCACCAGGGTAAGCACTCTGGCGGGGCGGTTTGTTTACCTGCCGCGTCCGCAGGTTCGGCCAATCGCGGCTCCCATTGGCCGCGGTTCGCCGCTCCAGGCCAATGGGGGCTGCAGGAAGCGGTGGCCAGCACATCCCTTGGCCCGCGCCGCTTCCCACATTGGCCTGGAGCGGCAAACCACGGCCAGTGGGAGCCGTGATCGGCCAAACCTCTGGATACGGCAGGTAAACAAACCGGCCCGGCCCGCCAGAGTGCTTACTCTGGCGAGCCGCGTGCCAAAGGTTGCCGATCCCTGCTCTATGGAATCATTAATTGAATATCTAATACACTGTCGTTTTGTTTACCTGGAGCATCTGCAGGCATGGAGCCCCTCAGCTCCCTGTGGCCACAGTTCACCGTTCCCATTGGGAGCTGAGAGGCTCCATGCCTGCAGACGCTCCAGGTAAACAAAATGTCCCGACCCTCCAGCGGCTTACCCTGACAGACTGGGAGCCAAAGTTTTCCAACTGAAATATAGGGTCGGCTTATGAAAGGGTCATACAGTTTTTGCTATTTTCCTTATCCATCTTGGGGGGTCGGCTTATAAACGAACGGGCTAATGAATGAGTATATACGATATATTCCTCTCACTCTTATTTTTGTTATTTCCCCCCATCCTCCAAGTAACAAAAATTGGAAATGCATAACTTAGTCACCACATCTCTGAAGTAGCTACACTTATTTATAAAGTAATTAGTTGAAAAAAAACCCAAAATGTTTCAAACCAGTATTTCCTTTGGTCAGTAGAAAAGATGTCATTTGATTTCGGAATCTGGACTCACACTTGTTTCTACAGCTTTTACTTGTACTGGTTTCTTAAAAATAAATTGTGTGACAACCTGTGCAGGCCTCACAAGTTTGACTATCAAACTCTCTAACCCAAGAGCCAGGTTTCAAGGCACGAGTGGGAACAGAATGTTTTTTGTCACTTAAAACAGGTTTGTGATGACTCTTTGGTTTGAATCCAAATCATACATGAATCCAGCCACCTTGATCAGCAAACAAGCATAAATATCTGTCACAACACCAAATATTAGGAAGTAGTCTTCATCGAATGAAGAATATAAATAGGATCAAAGATGATCATTGCATTATGTAAGATACTGTAAAATTTATTGTAGCACTGCTGTAAAATTAATTTGTGCAGTGCCTCTTCTAGGCTGTATGCTAACCCAGTTTGATGGACTTTATATACTGATATTCTACAAACTAGATGTCCCCTGTTGAGTCTTTGGTTTGGTTTGTCTGTAGGATTGACTTGCACATGTTTTCAAATGGCTGTTGCGAGGTAGCTGGAGATTACACCACTATGAGAAACTGTTTGGCAATCAGCTTTAGTTGTCTTTACAATAAAGAACTTATTTTTTAAACTCATTTACAAAAGGAAGCCCTTGAAACACTGAATGATGACAATATTGCCAAGTGTTCAAAAATCAAGAGCCAGCCCCCAAAGCTCATAATTTTGGCTTAACAATCAAAAGATTTGTAGAAGTCTGGGCTCTTTTTATTTGCCTTATGGATTTTGAGTCTTTAGAGCAGGGGTTCTCAAACTGGGGGTCGTGACCCCTCAGGGGGTCATGAGGTTATTACACGGGGGGTTGTGAGCTGTCAGCCTTCACCCCAAACCCCACTTTGCTCCCAGCATTTATAATGGTGTTAAATTAAAAACACTTTTTAATATACTTATAAGGGAGGGTCGCACTCAGAGGCTTGCTGTGTGAAAGGGGTCACCAGTACAAAAGTTTGAGAACAACTGCTTCAGAGG